GTGGATGGTTCCGTTAACCCTGAGGTGATAAATGAGCTGTTTGATGGAGTCCTGGAGGAGAGCGAGGAGAAAAGTGATGAGGAGGATGCAGAAGAAGATGCTCTGAATATCTCCTCCATGTCTCTCCTTGCTCCACTTGCAGAGACGGTAGCAGCTGTGGTCAAGAGCCCAGAAAGAAAGCCTATGGTGAGCCCTGAGGATGTAAGTCATTAGCTAACCAGTGATGATGCCGAATAATCTGAAAACTGATGTTACATCTCAATTTCACTTTTTTTATTTTGGTCCAGACATCGACTCCTGCCAGCTCATTTATTGAGAAGAGTTCCAACCCTGAGAGTGTATCCAGGCCCAGTAAGTTCCAAAGGACACGCATGTTACGAGCTGGATCATCTGACAGCATCAATGTCATAGATGAGCAGCAAAACCAGAACCTTCTCTACAGGTGTGCATCTGATCATTGACTCTTTTCAAGCAATATTCAAACTGATTTGTTGAGTATGATTTGCATTTAATGCATGGTTGTGTTTGATTTCAGCATTGATGCCTACAGATCCACAAGGGTTAAGACCGAGTCAGAGAGACCTCATGTTAAACAGGTGATCGTGAGGAAAGAGGATGTGTCTCAGAGAATGGAGACCAATGGGAGCCCCAGTCACATCAACATCAAGCAGAAAATGAAGGTCTGTTCAAAAATGTTCAATTGTTATTTATTATTATTATTTTGGGCCCTGTCAATTAAAAATCATGCATTTACTTTATAGCAATGAGTAATGTATGCCTTATATTTACATTTACGTTTATGGGTATAGCAGACACTTATCTGAAGTCCATTTTAAATAGTGGAACATAAGCAATTCGTCACAGAGCCAAACAATATTTGTAGTATACAATGCCAGATTTATTAGAAAGCAAGATTATGAAAACAAGCTATAGCAGGAGAAATGTATAAATTAAATTAAGATATATTTTTCTATATATGGAAGAATGTATGCAATGTATATATTTTATGTGCTGGCACCTGTTAGCTTAATGACTTGCCACATTTAGAAATGCAAATGGACTTGAAATAACACTAACAGTAAATTAGCAATAAAATCTGACATTAACTGTTCCATAAATGTTGTTTCTTATGCTCCAGTGGCGTCACAAAAGTGTGTATTTCAGGGTGGTCCTGTCAGTGTGCATGTGCAGTCCCAAACATGAGTCACAGGGCTCTATGGGAACTAGACCTTATAACAACCGCTGCAGTGACTTTAACAATTGGCAACTGGCTCTTTTAATTAGAAGACGGGACTTATTTTGCCCTGTTGCGCATTGCAGTTTCTCCTATTCATAGTAATATGAGTGAACCGTCTTTGATCTGAAGTGAGTTTATGATGCCATGTTGTGCTCTCAGATGTTGACCAATGAGATGAACCTGCAGCAGACAGTGATCCATCAGGCTAGTCAGGCTCTCAACTGCTGCACAGATGAAGAACATGGGAAAGGATCTCAAGTGGAGGCTGAGGCTGAGAGACTGCTGCTTATTGCCAGTAAGTGATAACTTTCCTTTTTGCACTACACGGGTGAATATCAGAATTATTTCTTAAACTTGGAGTAATGACTACTTTTGTTCGACCTCAGCCGAAAGGAGGGCCGCCCT